ATGCGCATCACTTATGAAACCTCTGACCGACCAACTTCGTGGAAATGCGAAATCCATTAATTTGGACGACACCGCACGAAAAGCATTCTCCACAGTTAAGGAACTGATTGCTAAAGCAACAATGCTCGCACATCAGGACACTCGAGCACTCATTAGCATCGCAGTAGACGCATCCGACTCAGCAATCGGAGGAGTCTTACAACAATGGGTTAACAACTCCTGGCAACCCTTGGCATTTTTCTCTAGAAGGTTGCTAGACACCGAATCGAGGTACAGCACATTCGGTAGGGAATTCCTAGCTATGTATTGTGCTGTACGGCATTTCCAACACTACATCGAAGGTCGTGAATTCACTCTTTTCACGGACCATAAACCGCTCACTTTCTCGTTAAGCTCTCCTTCTGACAAGAACTCTCCCCGTGAGTCTCGACAACTGGACTACATTTCGCAGTTTACTTCAGATATTCAACACATCTCTGGAGCAAACAATGTAGTTGCAGACGCTTTATCTCGCATAACTTCCTTGAACAGTTTCCAAGGAATCGACCTTCTTAAACTCGCCGAGCTTCAAAAAGAAGACAGTGATCTTCAGCACGAGTTATCGTCCACAACACTTAAACTACGCATCAAACAGATGTGAACAGGTAAGGAAACCTTACTTTGTGACACATCTACAGGTAGGGGTCGCCCAATCGTGCCGAAACATTATCGACGCAATGTCTTCAACACATTGCACAAACTTTCGCATCCAGGTGTTCGTGCAACCATCAAGCTTATAGCAGAAAGGTTTTGCTGGCCTGGAATGAATAAAGACGTGAGGGAGTGGGCACGCTCCTGTGTAAGCTGTCAAAAATCTAAGGTTATCAGACACAATAAATGTCCCTTAGGCTCGTTTAAAACTCCCGATGCTTGTTTCGACCATGTTTATCTGGATTTGGTAGGACCTTTACCAGATTCAAATGGATACTCTTATCTCTTAACCTGCGTAAGCCGTTTCACTCAATGGCCAGAAGCAGTACCTATCAAGGACATCACTGCTGAAACAGTGGCCCGCACCTTCGTCGAACGATGGGTAGCAAACTTTGGCTGCCCTTCAACCATCACTACAGACCGCGGACGTCAGTTTGAATCCGATCTTTTCCGTCGTCTGACCACACTTTTAGGAATCACTCGCTTCCGAACGACCGCCTACCATCCACAAGCAAACGGGTTGGTAGAACGTTTTCACCGACAACTGAAAGCTTCGCTATCAGCTGCAAACGTTTCACAGTGGACCGACGCTCTTCCACTCGTCTTACTAGGTATCCGCAATGCAGTGAAAACTGACATTGGATACACTGCGTCTCAACTCGTTTATGGTACGACACTTCGACTTCCAGGAGAATTCGTGGATCCTTCATCCTCTTCAATGAACATGGATCTAACCTCCTACACGAACAGGCTTACAAACGCAATGCGTTCAGTTAAACCTGCTTCCACTCGACCTCAATCAACTGATGTTTTCGTTCAACCTGACTTACGACATAGTACACACGTTTTCGTTCGTCGAGACTCGCATCGACGACCATTCGAATCAGCATACGAAGGACCCTTCAAAGTTCTTCAACGTGAATCTAAGTACTATATAGTCGATAAGAACGGAACCAACGATAGCATCAGCATAGATCGCTTAAAAGCAGCGTATTTAGAAGGAAATCCTATCCACGTCGATTTTCCTTCCGTACAATCGAACGACACGACTCCGACACTTATAATACCTCATCCGACATCCAACACACACGATGATACTTCGACAGTATCCGAAAATAAACTTAAAACGACGCGTTCTGGAAGAAGGGTGAAATTTCCAGAACATTTAAACGACTATTGCACGTAAGGCACTTCTCGACATTTTATATTATTTTTTTTAAAAAAAACAATTTTAATATGCTTATATATTTTTATTTCTATTTAAAAAAAACAAACAAAAAAACAATTTTTTAACGCTATTACGTGTTCATGAGTTTTTTTTCCATTTTTTTCCGCCGACATTGTGTTTTTACGCACATACGAGTGTATTTTCGACATGCACTTACATTTTCTTTTTTGTTTTCCAGGACGGCTGGAAAAGAACGATGACGTTTATGAGGATCCGAAATTTTCATTGTACATTTTCTTTTTTTACTATGTTGTACCTCCGTCCCATATAGTAAGGAAAGCCGACCAGACGCTGCTAAATTTAGTAAGCTATCAGAAGAGTGTTTACCAACGACAAACTCGTTGTGTTTAAACTTCTGGCTGGCCACGTCTTAGGGTCGTCACTGCCCCACTAGGGGGGGAGTGATCTGTAGCGGTAAATAAATCCCCAAAATAAATAGCACTAAGTTTTCGACATCGGATGCTGACCATATGTTTTAGTGGACTCATATAGCTGAAGGCGCTCAGTCAGGCATCCGCACCAGATCACGTGTGGTAACGCCGTGGTCAACATCAACCGCAATCGCTAGCCAGATTAGATCAGAGAATTCCGATATATTGGTCATCGCCAAATATACTCTTCCGATCTCCTCGACTCTGTCTTTTGATTTCTCTGGGCGGGAACGAAAAATATTAGAAGGTGTTACTGGTAGAAGCGTTGTCAAACACTGAATACCTGTGACATCATCAGCAGAATCATCCAATTAATGTACAAATCTGTTGAATCAAAACGTATCTGGTATTAAGAACTAGTGGATGTACTATTTTACAGTCAGAATCATTTATTTGTTTTACCTGAAAAGCGAATCATATTAAGGCACGAAAGTTCAGAAATGCTTGTTTAGATTCACATTTCTCGTCACCGCGGCAAACGAAAGATTGTTTAGGGAATTTCGATGCTTGGTGCTAGTCACATAACTACAAGGAAGAAAGCGTTCCAGATCATTTTATTACTGTTACTGGCAGAGAAGCATATAGTTTGGTAAAGAACCTTATATATCCTGACAAAGCTATTCTGCTTTCGCTCGACAAACTAAATAGATTATTAACAGATAATTTTCGCGTAACATTGCTCGAAACACGTTAGTGAGCACAGTTCAACCAATTGGTTCGTGCTCCGAATCAGAGCATTGGAGATTTTATAATACAGCTTCAGATGCAAGCTTAAGCGTGATTTCGGTGGATGACTGGATATTCAACTCCGTGACCGCCTGAGTGTTCGTATAAACGATTATAAATTAAAGAAGCGGCTAACACAAATTCATTCCTGAACTTTTCAGACATCACAGGACTTTTGTTTTACTTATAAAGATGTTAATGATGATCATCGTGGCGCCGTTACGAAACAACATGAAGGTTCACTATCAAATGCGGAAAATTTTTCTACATAGCAGAAAGCTAAGACTCCTAACAAGAACAGTTGTGATTCAGTCAGACATATGAATAATTCGAAACGCATTTTGAATTCGTCTGTGTGTGTTCAATCCCGTTATTCATGTGTTAGGCTGCATCTTCGCAGATAATGTCAGTTCCATTATGCACGTTACTTTATGTGTGAAAAAGGTGGATATGCACAAAAGTCTTCTGAAGTTTCAATTAGTTTACTACTAAAACACTGAATAATGGCGGATCAAGATCAGCTGATTCCGAGTAAAGGATAAGTTAGTAATCTCTCACTACTGCCAGCGGGAGTACTTCACATTTCATGCAAAAATTAATTGATAACACAGAAAACCCCCACTTCTTTTTGACACTGACAGTATAGAACCAATTATTTCTAGAGCAATTTATTGTTTGTTTATGATGATTTTTATTAAAAGCTTAAAAACAGTGCGATCACTGACCACCAGTTTACAATTTTTGGTATAGCTATTATTTTCAATTGAGGAATAAAGAGGGTGGTCCAGTTAACATTCGTTTACCAGTTAGTATGGTCTGTCTGTACTTGTTTTAAAGGACCTGAAATTACTTTGAGTTCTCCTTTCTTTATTCACTAATCCATCTAATATTGCCGTAGTCGAAGATACAGTCTTACAATGCTTAAAGGTTGAGAGAAGTATGAAAATTCACCCAGTACATTCGGAACTTAAGAGCGAGTCTGTCTTCTTAAAATGTAGACTGATTACATATGGTTTAATAGAGGTTGTGATGAATGAGCTAGACAAACTGGTTGGAAAAGTGATAATAATGTCATTCGAGTCTTGCAGTCGGATTTCTTCAGTTGTGACTTCATTAAAGATAGATTGAAAAACATCCGAAATTTGTGGTGATTACCTTTTGACACTGAATAATCCAAATTTGAGACAGACAAAATAATAAAATCGTATTGGTAAGCAGCTGGGAAAAATTAACAGAAATACAAATAAACCCAAACTATATTATAGACAAATAGATCGAAGATCAACGTGTTTCGGGGTCGGTGAATGACTAACGAATCCTACCCTTATCGAAGTGACTACATCCACCCCAGTGGATAGATTCATGTAGAAATTTGACAAACGCTTACTTACTCATGGATTACCATCTTCATCTCGGACTGGTTTTGCCGGATGCACGTCTCGCAATTTACCCACTCTTATCATAATTGTATATTGGTAACTTATTACACTCTCTTCTATTATCGGCTCCGTTTTGCTTTTTCTTCTGACACTCACGTCTTCTTGCACTGTCTGCATTACTAATTAATCAACTCACATATCTGTTTATTTACCCCTTGAAAAAATCGTCTTTTATTTGCACTCTAATTTTCTCTTTACCATTTACATGTTGTAGCCGGCGAGCCTCGTGCATGGTTAAATGATAACTGCTGGTATGCAGAAACCCCATTGACCTTAGACAAACTCACTCAAATTACAATATATGCAAATTCATAAATAACTATCAAAGTGACTACAATCAGTGCAGTCAAATGGCTGAACCATCATCCGCTTAACATTATCAACTACGTGTGACCGTAACGAAACAACAAGAAGAGAATGCAAAGGAATCCGTTGACTTATACAAACTCGTGACAGTGATATTGGATACTGGACAAAGAAATTAAAGGACCGCGTCTTTAGAAAGGTGCGTTACTGACTATGTTAGATACTAAATTTGGTTCCTAGCTTTGCTTTAGAAGTAAGACACTTATTTCTCATCATTTTCCCCACTAAAATTGTTCACTGTACTAATGAAAATGTATGAGACGTATATAAATTTCATGTGAATGCTACAAATTTTTTCAATTTAAGATGATAATTATCATATGCTTCAAGTACTTAAGCTTACGTTGACTGATAATAGACACTGCCTTCATATGTGTGTTCGCACTTCGTTAATGTCAAACACTTTACATGTGTTAGATTTTTCTTGTGATTTATAATCTTAATTGTAATTCTAAATGTCCTTCGTGGTTAATGTCACACATTATTGAGTATTCTGTTTTCAAGTGGTATGTTTTCTTCTTAACTCACTGCGTTTAGTGCGTGAAACTAGCTAGTCCGTTGTGTTCAAGTATATAAGGTATCGTGCAATACACCTAGCTTGGAAGCATACTTTTACTAGACCCCGAGCTCCCAATTTCGGGGGAAATTTGGCACATTTTGGGGAAATGGCACAAAAACCCCGAAATTTCCCAAGACCTGAGGGCATCCCCAAAATTTCCCCAAACTTTGGGGAAGGCTATTTCTCTTTGGGGATTTCCCCAAAGTTGGGAGCTTGGGACATGCCGCCCAACTGAAGATTCCAAAGGACAACGGGTTAAAATCAATAAGCCGTCGCAACTCTCTTGCACAGTGATATTAATACGCCTCATGAGCTTCGAATGGTATTCACTTATTAAAGCCTAGGCTTCTCAAGGTTTCCTACTTGAAGAACAGGCTTCGAAATATTAGTATTTTGTTAGGTTCATGCGGAATAAAGCAGTATTGTCGATCCGTTTCACGACTCAAGTTTAGTTTGGGTCAAATGCTTGCCATACGACGTAAATTATTTTAGATCTTCGTTGCTCTGCTGTTTCAAAATTGTCTCGACTCGATCGTTAGATGTTTATTTTTTATTGTTATTGTTTCATAATCTGTCTGTTCAAAGTTGGATTCCATACCACGTATGCTTCGGTAGTATTGCGCGTGTGGGTGACATCTTAAATTTGCAGTTATTTACGCTTCTCTATCGCGTCTTTCCAATCGATTACTAATTCGCCTTTCATAATCATCGTTAGATTTGATTGACATCTCACTGTACTGCTCTCTTAGTCACACCCCGTAATAACCATGTATTACTTAACATACAGTAACCCCGATTTTCGATATTTATATCTTTTGCCTTCACATGGGCCTAAACTGGGTGTATTTTAGTTTCGATAAACCTTTTTGTTAAATTTAATTTTTTTCAGTTGATGTTAACCTATACCACTGAAGCTTCTGGAGAACGTGAAGAAACATCTCTAAAGTGGGCCAAATTACTTTCCGTGCACGATTCATTCATGCATGAACTTTCTCAGGAAGTAATTACTATTGGATCATCTGAAGGTCCTTTTTCCTTCTTTTTAATCATTTAAAATAATTTTGTATTCGTTATTCAGAATGTATGATTGTTATAAAACATGAAGAAGTTTCAAGTCCACATTGCCTTTTGATGAAAGATCCAGACGACGTCATATGGTTGTACGATTGTAGCAAGACTGGGACACGTTGTAATGATGGCAAGTGGTTACAGCAAGATTGTGTCACGCTTCACACTGGTGACTATTTCTACCTTTTATGGGATGAAGTAGATGTGACTAAGCGTAGGTTTATCTATACTGCCAGAAAAGAATAATATTTATGTGCCTGTTTCTTAAGGAGTTGGGTTCTGCGTTCTTTTTGTTGATGATTTTAAAGTTTTGGCTTCCTCTGGTGAGTCTGATAAGATCAAAACTACGGAACTACCGTTACAACCATCATCATCACAGTTTATGAAGCCATCAACATCAAATGATGATACTGATTTAGAAAATTGCTTAACATGTGTTATTTGTGGAGATATCTATTTCGAGTGTTGTAGGTACGTTGACTACACTTGCCCGTATGATATGTCGTTTTTTCCAACACAGTGTTCAACCGTGTTTACACAGTTTCTGCACACTCTGTTGGTTGAGATGTAAAAGATATGAATGTCCAATGGTAAGTCAGATTGTATTATTTCCTTGATTATTTTCTCTTCCCGTTATGTTTGCTTTAAGTGTCGTAAATCAGTGTCAGCGTATGCTAAAAATCACCAATTAAATAATTTAGTTGATGTATTCCTTCGTAAACATCCAGGTAAGAATTCTTACGTTTGATGATGTGTATGTCTTATCATCATTATTTTATTTATAGAGAAGTTAAAATCTGAATCCGAACAAAATGAAATAAAGCAAGAAATTGCAAGATTAACACGCGTAAGCGCATAATATATTATGGAACTTCTAAAATTAAATTTTATTAGCTTCCAAATCACACTCGTCGATACAATAATCGAACTAGAAGGTATGTGTATGTATGAAAGAGTGAGAGAATAATTTTTTTATGTTTTTCTACTTATCACCATATCTTAATTGGTTTTGTTTATTGAAAATAAATACACATCTGAAGTTGTTTGGAGTGTAATAATCTTTATGATACATTTCTCTCTAAATGTCAGATATAAATTGGGAACTGCTCTTAGTCATTACCCTGACTAATCAAACGACACAAAGTAGTTGGGTGCTTTGACTATGCTTAACTATAAACTCATCAAATCTGATTCTTTGGTTTGCTGATGATATTTCGGCGAGGATTCAAAACACTACTTTATCGTCCATCAGTTCTCACCACCTATGATGTAGACAAAATCACCATTGGTGAGGATACTGTGCAGTCGTCCAATTTATGTCGAGTGGGGCTCAAGCTTTAAGTACATAAGTAGGTTACTAGTATTTTACCATATCGTCCCTTCGAAATAATAGTGTCATACGATGGAACAACAAAACAAGAAAGAGTGTAGTGAGTTAGCTGGTGGGACTATGTGTTTTCGTCTAGTGAGAAGTTTTCTACATATCTCCGAATACTGCATATATCGACCGTGACTTGCGCAGTAGTAGGTTAAAGGAAAAGTAAGGGTAAGCAAACCAAAACACTACATCACTCCAGAAAGTCACTTAGTGTTGAACTGAGCCATGTTTGTAGGTACAAACTAGTACAATCAAGTTATAGTCCTCATGTTTATATTGATTAATGGTTAGACGGTTTTAATGATAGAACTCTTAAGTTGGTCACATTTGTGCAAAGCCGTTTATTTCTTATCTTCTGATTGTTTATTTTCAGTGTTATTTCGTACGTTTTGTTTCTTGATTTCATTTTTGCTTTTTGGACCATAAGCTTTATACTTAATCTTTTTCATACTATGATTGATACTACTATTATTTCGACTTACTTGCTTTCACCCCATTAATTTCATCCTATTATGCTAATATAGTGTGATAATTTGGGCTAATGCTTATTTATGTCAGGTCTTACATTGATCATGACCAATTTTAGTCACTGAAGACAATAAATTCCATTTATTCGTTGAATTTCTTACCTCTTCGTTTCTTTTTCTCTATATATCGATTTCGTTTAGGAATAGAGAGAGAATTACTCTTCCTGGTGGTGACTATGGTTTACTGAGTAGTTCCTCTGGCGTCTTTCCTGCTGTTCCGACCATCACTACCACCGCAACAACTCGCAGTGTTTCTTCTGGTCCGATAATTATGCCCACTTCCTTACCGATGAGTGCTGGTTGTGTTATATGTTCATGGTTACCACCATCACATGACCGTCGTGGCAATAGTATGACAAGTATTAGTGGCATTACTCTTGGCGACCATGGTCCAAGAATTGAAGAATGTGAGTTTATTCCGGTATAAATACATAATATGTATGTTTATGCTCAGTAGATAACAACCTTTTTTGAATTCATAATATTACAAATCAACAGTATCCACATTAAACTAAGAAACTCAAGTTTATCTACAAACGTATTCACATGGCATTACGATACATACTTCAGTCTGTAATGTGTAATATTTTTCAGCTCGTTAAATGCTGTTAAGATTCATGTTAGTGGTTGTCATTTCTCAGGTTTTTCATACTGTAGTACCTGAAAAGGATAATGAGTTAGTAGTGACTTTGTTCACCTAGAAGTACCGTCTCAGAGCCAAAGGGCAGCTGGTTGAGGTTGGTCAAACATGACCTTTCTGAGTAGTTTTTATTGTGTTAGTTCCATGCTTTTGAGGCGTTACTACCGGTATCGGAAGTCAAAGTAAGGTGTATTGTTTTTAGAACCTACCTTTTCTAAACCCCTCCTCTGTGCGAAAGTAGCATAGTTAAAGATAATAATTATCTGCGGGGAAAACATTAGTACCATTCAACCTCAGTACACTCGATGTTACGACTTTTCTCTTAGATCTTGAATTTACCACTTTTAATCCTACCCCTCTCAGGTCGACTTACCTGAGGAGGGGAAACCTTATGGAACAAGTGTTCAAACCATTATAACGTGGTTAGATTGTCACAATAATCTGTTTAATTATGATTACTATTATATATGAGAGTGGATACTGAGAACTGAGAACAATTGATTTCTAGTTAATAATTTGAAAATTCTTGATAATTTAGGGTAAAGTGCCAATCAAAAATTAATATTTGCACTAACTGACCAGTAGACATTACCCTATGTTATACTTGTGTTGTCCTTTGTTCTAATTAAACACTATTGGTCAATAAGTTGAAATGTGACTATTTCTCTAAATGAATCGACATTATGCGCACTAGTGTTTTAGCTTGATATGGTGTTTGGTCATCAGCAACGAGCCTTATCTGTATATTCTTAGTAGTCGATACTTCGGTGAATTTCTTTAGTGAGCCATTGGAAAACAGTGGTTATGGTCCATAAAATAAATGACAATAGAATGGGTAAAACCGCAGTTTCATATGGTATAGCTCTATATCCTGTTTTCTATTCACTTGTGCTTTGATACTTGATTTCGTGATCGAATATATTTAGTCATCCATTCTAGTCTAGTAATCGTGCGACTAGTCTTCTTTACTATATTTTATTACCCGTTTCTTCTGCTGTAGAATACCATAAATTCTTCAAATATTGAAAGACTCCACATTAGCGCCAGACTTTTGGTAGCCGCCCAACAAATATTAGAATGCAATAGAAAGTCGTCATAAATTATCCAAATGTTGTGTGAATACTCATTTGTTCATATGTAGATTATGTTGAGAACACAAATTAATCATTTCTAAATCGTTTTTTTATTTGCCCCAAGTTAACTCACTATCAAAACATGTTACTGATGATATACTGACCAATATGCGCTTATAGCGTACACGTGCTAAAACAGATTAAGACGACTGTAATACGGCATCCATATTGTTGTCCCGTAACATCATTTCGTTGATTCTCCAGTGATTCTTATCATAAATACTGTAGTGGAGATTGGGGCTATTTGGTACTTTTCACTTGACTATTTATGACTTCATAAGGAATTTGTGGAGAAAATGATCGAATTATGATAGAAAAGCAGCTTTACAGAAATGCAGTTTTTGGTTTTATGTTTGCAAATCTCATAAATTACTCAAAGACTCTGTAGGAATAAATTTGTGTTTCATTAGCCTCTCTTATTTATTTATTCATTTAAACACATAAACATTAGTACAAGGAGGCACCATATAGATATGCGCCACATAAATTATTCGGTTTATGAGAGGGCTGGGATAATACCCAGGTGCCCAAACCGAAGCAGGTGGCTTTCTTAGGGGACCACACCTGGAGCCTTCGACCTAAAGGTCTAATCCACAGAGCAGTGAAGTGACTTCAGGAGATGCCGTCCAATGGTAGCTGGTCATCAACAATTGGTTCATACTCCATTTGTTCCTTTAGGATCCTGGAACCCGTGTATACCATTGGTTTGGAATCAGGGTTTTCCAACTGCCTTAGGTGGACTCTCCGTGTCTACCATTTCGGTTAAAGCACCGGACATTCGGTTTTCGTCCTCTCAAGTTCGTAAACAACACCCCTCTCGCGAGAATTTAGTGAATAGGACTTCCCTGTCAGTGGTTGTATGCACGTGGCCATGTGAAAGCATTTGGAGAGGGAGAGCTGACTCTCCCCACTCTCGGCCGTACCAGGGCATTAGCTTCTCTAACAAAATATATTCAATTGAGATAATTTGTGATCCTCATTGTCTGGTTGGCAACATAAAGATTTCATAATCATTTCTGGTTCTGTGCTTCAAAGTTGGTAATATGCAGTACAGAGATCAGTTAATCAAAATTGAGTAAAATGACTCTTGTATTCTGTGTCAAATTCAAAACAATGAATGATTTATCTTAAAACGTGAAACAACCAGAAGAAATACTTTTGTACAATAATATGAATGTTTAAAATTATGATGGAAATCAATGTTTTCTCGTTTGCATAGTAAAAATATTAACATTAAACTTATCAAATACTCAATTCTTTCTATGTAGATTGTATATATAATATGCAAATCAACCCTAAATCTAAATTTATAATCCTAATTATAACCAGGAAATTTGGGAACTCCTAAAAGACTATTTTCATCCTTATATAGGTCCGAGTAGATGAATATTCTATAGCCATATGGATGCATTTGTCACTGTTTTTCGGCCAACAGACATAAAAATCTGTAGAAGACTTCAATAGATTCATGAATTATATTAAAATCTTTGTGGTATTATTGTTTCTCCTCATAAAATATTCATTTACAATAACTTTATTGGTAAGTGTTTAAATTATCTTGTTGTTAATATTGAAAACTGAATTTCGATCAGTCCTGGCTAAAATAGGTGCTTCCAATGATAATTACCATGGTTTAGCCATTCTTCTCAAGTTATGTGGAACAGATAAATTGTGGCTATCAGAGGAATCCTGAAACTCTCATTTCTTTCTAATTAGAACTTGTCAGTTAGGACATATCTCCATCAAAAATCTCATGTTCACACTTTGACTCGAACCCAATCTTCGAACCTCAATGGGTTGTCCGCTAAGATCCTGAATCCAGATACCTACTAACTTGTTCGGTGGGTATGATGTTTATTCCAATTTTAGTTACAATTCACTTGTTATAAGTAATTTGTGAGAATGTATCCAGGCGATCCGCATATGCTGCACATATACTAATAAAGACTGATCAAAAGATAGTCAAGAATATCAAAAAACCGGGTAAATTAAAGCCTCATTGATAAAGATATAAATACCATATCCGTTGGACAATTTAGTGGCTACGTCAATCCAGTAAGCAATGCGTTCGTGTTTAAAACGAAAGTTACAGTCGTAGTGTCGGTTACCATGTTAAGTCCATATAACTCATTATACCTTCTGGACAGGCCAGTTTATCCATTCTTCATAAGTCACGTTTTGACACTATTAATTATTCGCTTATTAACCATGCCTGTTTTTATCTGAGCGTATGTGTGTGTACATATAATCCTACTTATCACACATCTATAACTTATTTTTGGGTGGTTATGAATATAAATTAACGCTTGATTAGATCGAATTGGCTCGCAGGCCTTATCCACTGCCCATCATTTCGTTTCGCTTCGTTCCTTTGATCGTCTGCCTGGATCAATAATTGTACAAAATATACGTATTCAAACATTCATTCTCGTATTTGACTTATTTTAATTCCGTTATTCGCTAACGCGAGTTAAGTCGATAATTAGATGCGAAGATTGGTGACATATATATTCCGACATGTATATCTCAATAACAATCAATCATACGATCTAACTGGAGTCAGATCTCGGGCCACAAAAGTGGTGAGCCCGTCGACAACATAATCCGATCTAATTAACGTCAAAATGAAGGACCCCATTAAAGTGGTGAGCCCGATAGGATAATCGATTTCAGATTGGATGAGAGCGTTTAGCATCGTTCTGGATAACGCATCTGCCACTTCGTTATTATTGTCTTTAATGTACTGTATGTTAGACGTGAATTGGGAAATAAATTCTAGTTGTCTAATTTTCCTCGGCGAACAGTTATCCTGCTTGGTGTTTAGTGCTTTCGTGAGGGGTTTATGATCTGTATACACTGTGAAAATGGTACCCTCGATCACATGTCGGAAATGCTTTATCGCCAAGTAAATCGCCAACAGTTCTCTTCCGAACGTACTATACCTCGTTTAAATAAGACTGAATCTCTTCGATAAAAATGTAAGTGGTTCCCACGTGCCATTTACTAACTGCTGCAGTACAGCCCCTACTGCTATGCGTCCGTCATGACGGCTAGTGGCTCTTCTCTCTTTCGTCGTACTAACATGGTCTTCTCATCTAGTGCTCTCTTAGCGTTCTCAAACGCATGTATAGCCTCTGTTGATACACCGAATGTTCGGGCATGTCCTTACAAAGCGTCCGTCAATGGTTGTAATACAGTTGCGCAGTTTGGAATAAATTGTCTATATTAGTTCATTAGTCTCATGAATCGTCGTAATTTTCTTTGTGACTCGGGCAACTTCTGTCGCAACTGGCGTGATACCTTGAGAATTTATCATATGACCCAGGAATTGCGATGATTCTATTCCAGGTTCACACTTCTCCACATTAATAGTGACGCCATGTCCTTGAAGTTTCGTAAACTGTCGTAGATGTTCTTCCACGGTAGCGCTAGCTACTAGTATATCATCGATATATGCATATACATATACATAAAATATCTGACAATGACAGTAGAAAAAGCTGCAGGAGAAGCGACTATGATACAGCAAAGAAGATGGTAGGAAAATATGGTAAACCAGTTCAACCAGTCAAGAACAAAGAAGGCAAGCTAATCACAGCCACTTTTGACTGTGATCTTGTACAAATGTTGTTTCCTATTTTATGGTACGATGTGGTCTGTCTGGTTTGTGTATAAACCCAGTATGTTTGAAATAAATGATTCATATCGTAGAGGCGGAGATTGGTGTTCTGAACTTAACAGGCTAGGTAGGTGAGGAAGCAGGATCGCTACGGGCTCTAGGCTGCTCGTACAGGTTTTATGCGTGATTGGTCCGGTCGATAATTCACTGTTCTGTAATTTGCGGTATCATCACTTTATAGATTGATAGGGGCACAAACCCACACGTTCTAACAATTGGCGATGGGATGAAGAAAAAAGAACCCAGGGCACAAAACTAAAAGATATGACATTATTGAAGTCAGTTATAGGGGAAATTAGCCTTTACAAACTACAGAGGCATCACACTAATATATCAGTGCCGGAAGAAGTTTTCAATAGTATTGTTGAGCCGAATAAAAGATTCAGTAGAAGCTCAAATTTGCTATCAACAGACTGGATTCCGTACGGATCGGTCATATGCAGACCATTGTTGAGCAATCACGTGAATAAAATTCGTCACTATTCGTCAACTTCCTTGACTATGAGAAGCATTTGACAGTATGGATAGGAGAACCTTATGGAATCTTCTTCGGCACTGTGATGTACTTGAAAAGATCATCATCATCTTATGGAATTCTTATGACGGAATACAATGCAACGTCGTGCACGGAGGTCAGGTGAAGGATGCACTCCAAGTGAAGACTGATGTCAGACAAGGCTGCTTATTTTCACCCTTTCTCTTCCTTCTGGTGCTCGACTGGATTCTGAAGACTGGTACATCTGAGGGGAAGCATGGAATATAATTGACAGCTTGGATGCAGCTGGCCTTCGCAGATAATCTTGCTCCTCTATCCCGTATGCAACAATACGCTTCAACATAAGGGGAGAATAGGAATATTAGGGATAAACACTGGAGGCGGATAGGACATACATTTTGGAAATCATCAAACTGCCTCACGAGACAAACCCTAACTTAGAATCCTAATGACAAAAATGGTTGTAAACCAAAGCATATATTGCACCAAGAATTGAAGGAAGATATCAAAAGAATGAATAGAACGTGAAAAATCCACAAAGGGGACCCAGGAAAAAGTTGTTTGAAGAACCCTTAATGGCTCCTTATGTTCCCACGAGAATTAACAGGTGTAACCGGGTAAATGATATATAAGCATATTATTTCACCACAGGAAAAGTCTGTGATGCTGATTTTCATTTGTGTCGTCTCTCATTAGCAGTTCTTTCAGAGTATATGTCTATAATTCAGTTTTTGAAAGTGATTGTTAGTTAACCACATTGTATCATTGCGTAATATGTATTGACCAACATTTTGTTCATCATCATATCTAATTCAAAAACTTTTTCCACCATAATACCATCATTTATATGTATGTGATATGTTTACCTTTATTACTCGATGTTATGAGATCTGTGCTCATATTTCTGTTCTTTTGAAATGTCATCAATCAATACAATAGGCTGATTACATTTATTTGATTATAGTCTATCAGTAGCACATCCTTGAGTATATAACTACAATGATCCTGATTACTCTGTTATTAATAATAATTAACATTTCAGGTTCATCAACCAATAAGAGATACAGTTTCCTTTATTTCGAATTTTATTATCCCATCAATTATTCAATGTTGTCATTTCTCATCACGAATTTAGTTCGATCAAGAATTGATCATTCAATTCATTCTTTTTTCTATAATTCAATTTAATATTTTTCTTTAGGTTCAGCGCATTGTTATTGTACATGTTGTAATAGACCAATGCCTAGTCGAACAACAACAACAATTCCACAACTACATAGCATAAATCGAACAGAATGTGAAGTGTGCCGGCGTACATTTTGTTCTTTAATCAATCCATATGGATGTTCAACATGTGATGGTTATTGTTTATCTCGTGTACAAGGTGAGTAATCACGTGTCCACTAGTGAATGTTGTACTAAGTTGGCACACATAGTTATCAGCGTAGAAAGGGTTTATTAGTAATAATATTGATCTTAGTAACGTATAGAAGCAGAGAATTATATGTAAAGATTCTGTTTTTATCATTGTTTACATTACGGATCAGTTTCTATTGGTATAAATGTCTCTTAACCGAACTAAACCAACTTGGACTTTTAATAAATTTAAGTCGTAGCTTGTGGTACAATCCAAGACTCATATTTTGTCCTTTTGGGGACTTGCTAGTCACTAATTAAAAGCTATATTGGAGCAGTCCTCTCAAGATAGACATATGTTACTAGAGACCGGTGATTATTAACAAACTGGAAAGATGACATTTCTACATGTAATTTAACAGCCGTTGAACGAGTTAGTGGTCATCTGAAAAAAGTAGTTCGATTAGTAGCTCATTGAAGTGATGGGTATTGGGTTCAAGTCTAGGATCCAGGTACATCTAAATGGCAAGTCCTAAACAGAACAAAGCTCAAATTCACTTGGTGTTGTTTTACTTGTATCTTCCCATTGTTATTTAGGACTGCAATTGATCAGTCTCATGTTGGCATATGTGCATCCTGTGCGGATTGCCTCGATATAGCCTTAAGTCACAAGCTTTTTAAGCAAAGATGGATAGTGGCTAGCAGTGGAATCCAATATTCAGGTTCCCGGAGTGAACATCAACTCTGCGATGCAGGTACATCCGGCTGACGAGTCCCAAATGGGACGAAACGCGCGTCCTGGATTCCACTGTAAGCTACAATTAAAATGAAGAATATAGTTTGAGAATAAATAATAAGATGGAAGTTTTAAAGTAAGTGAAGATCAAATTCATCTGTCAGTGCTACAAATTTAAGTTCATTACACCTAGAATTTCAAATCATAGCTGACGACCATTGCACGAAAGTCAATCAGGACGTTTGTCCCTCTCGAAACTGCTTGGATCACTAATCAAGAAATGTATGAACTGATGTTTTTATGGCGTAACTTAACCTCTCTTAATCTTCATCCAATTTGCTTCTAAACTGTTGTAATGGCTCCTGGAAAGCCCAGAGAAGCCTCTGGAGAGTCTAAAGGAGCCTAAGAGGTTCCACCCAATCAGAACCGAACTTTCTAGAATATCGACATGGTATGCTATAATTGGACAATCGTATAATTTCGTGCTTCCGGATTGACTGGATTATAATGTTATAGTCTATACTAAAAACTACGAATACTCCTATTTTTCTGTACACTTTTTAATACTCAATAACCGCTTCTACGTTCTTCCGTCTTTTTATTCGCGACTGTGGGCTTCTTCGTGTTAGAGTGCCGATAGCTGTATTCAAGTAGAGGACATAACATAAACTAGCTTTTGTTGTGCGTTCGAGTATATGTTGGTGGTTTAGCTCCCAAATGCCCTGGTAAGGCCGAGAGTGGGGAGACTCAGCTCTCCCTCTCCAAATGCTTTCACATGGCCACGTGCATACAACCACTGACAGGGAAGTCCTATTCACTACATTCTCGCGAAAAGGGTGTTGTTTACGAACTTGAGAAGACGAAAACCGAATGTCCGGTGCTTTAACCGAAATGGTAGACACGGAGAGTCCACCTAAGGCAGTTGGAAAACCCTGATTCCAAACCAATGGTATACACGGGTTCCATGATCCTAAAGGAACAAATGGCGTATGAACCAATTGTTGATGACCAGCTACCATGGGACTGCATCTCCTCACTTTACTCCACGGCCTTGTTGACTAGACCTTTGGGTCGAAGGCTCCAGGTGTGGTCCCCTAAGAAAACCACCTGCTTCAGTCTGGGCACACAGGCACTATCACAGCCCACACACAAATCAAGTGACTTGTGTGGCGCATATGGACAAAATTTCACCAGTTAAATTCTTTTTCTTGATATTTCATTTATTTGATAATATCTCTAAATGAGTTCCTTGTCTCGAATATTTCAGATTTGACTAGATACAATTCAATACCTCGTAATTTATTATTGAATAATCGTATAGAGACAAGGATTCTTGATGTAAGTTATTTATCTTGAGAGAAAGAATTTTACATTCTTTTTCTTCCCAAGATTTTTTATTTTAATTTTAGGTACAACCATATATATATAATATTCTGTTATCTGATTCAATCACTAATGCATTCTCTTAACGCTTGATCAACCCTAGTATAGATCGGGTGAAGACGAAGACTGTGTACGCAGCTGTATTGTCGAATGATACTTACTGTTCATCAGTCAGTCAGTCAGCAACAATGTAGATCTTCGTACGTACGTACGTCAGTTTGAGTCGCCATACCACAATAGCACAGCGAAGCAATTGTCGATGCAAATCCCATAGTGGTAGAGGTGATAAAATTATTAGCAGTAATTAAGGTTTGAAGATGTTATTCAAGGAGTATAATCCAGTGAAATAAGTTTCGAAAGAGAAAAGAAGGGAGATGAATGAATCGGAAGATTAGAATTTGGGAGAATACACAGAGTGGATGCACCTGCGCCATTACAAACGATTTTGAACCATGTCATTCAAGGTCTCTAACCATCGGTTGCTATCGTCTCATGGATCCCAACCGGGTAGTCTACACCTACCAACATGGCTTAGTCCACTTGTCAGTGACTTTATGGATTTGTGCCATGTTTTGGTCTGGCCGCCCCTTCGGTGGTTGGGCATACGTAACACATGCCCCAGCCATCTCAACTGATGAAGTTTCAGTACTTCATCAATTGATTTGCCATCCTTACTGAGTACCCGTTTTCTAATAACTGAATTACTTACTCGATGGTCCCAGGATATACGAACAATGTTTCGAAGACATCTGTGATCGAATAACAGTAACCTACGAATATCCTCTACTCTTACCGGCCATGTTTCACAGCCATGAAGTAGGACGGAACGAACTGCTGCACAGTAAACTCGTCCTTTGGTTGGTAGATGGATATATATCGCCTACGCCATAAATGACGTAAGTTGGCAAAAGCTAGTCGAGCCTTCTGTATCCGTGCTGAGATTTCTTCACACGTTTATTAATGGCCAGAATAGCCCAAATAACTACATCAATAATCCATTTTACTTAAAATATCCCACTTTTACATGTTCCTTACCTACCTTGAGTTATCGTGTAATTTGTCTTATTTGGCTCCGAGTATCATATATAAGTAACTATTTGGTTAAATAGCATGTAACCACTGTTACTACAGTGCATTTAATTCCATTTGCCAACTATTTCCTACACAGTTCTAGGAACATAAAATTAACTACTTATTTGTTACAAGTAAAATTGTGGTATGCGCTACTTATTCATATAATTAGTGTATAACGATAGTCAGAGATAGAATGTATTTCAGTAGAAGATCAAGAAGGAAAGAATGGGAACAGAAAGAAATCGGTATGGAAATGCAAGAACAATGAAATCTGAGACGTTTGACTGATCTTTCCAAAAGGAACAGTCACGTCTGAGACAATTGATTGGTATTTGGCAAATTAAGTATTTACCTTATAGTTGTTAGATTTTAGTGAGATATTCTGTAATTTTGTGTTTAAATACATTTGATTGTACTCACTCATATTCTTGTTCACTATAGAGTCTCAATGTTATTTATTCATATGAAGGGAAATTATTTGTTAAATTTAATACTATCTCTGGATCAGTTCTTTGAATGATAAACGTTGATTTCTGCTTTCTCAAGCATTTTAACACTTTCTCATATCAAGCACTATATCTAGTCATTTGACATTTTTGAACGTATAGTAGTCAAGAATTATTTCTTCATGTAGTGATTTTTTGATGACTTAGAATTGTAATTCTCCAATTGCCTATAGTATGTAACCACTTTTTAAGAAGGAAAAATCATGTTAATTATATCTGTTGGTTATAAATAATTATCAGTATAGGGTTGTGGAAATTGTTGAGTTTCTTTGAGATCATAGACCGGTTTTTTTTGGACCTTTGGAAACTTGAAAGCACCGGAAATCCTTTTCGTTGTAGCACGGAACTCCTCAACAATGTGAATTCCTGATCACACACGTAGAACTCTGACCCAAAACCCTCGATTTCGCGCGCGAACGCTTAACAGTTAGTTTTACAATATTGTAAATACATGCTCATACAATAAATTATTGATTAATCAATGTCAAGTACTACTCAGTTTGATGTATACAAATCTGACTGTTAATCAGTACAAACTATATGAAACTTCATATTCATTTTGGTTGTCAAATAAATCCTCATTTATCGTCCTTATGTTCTTATTTGCGACTTGAGTTTCACGGGTTTAATTATTCACTAACAGTTACCTGTCGTTACAACAATTGTCGATGGGTATTTTGGTAAATAAAATAAATCTTCCTCTACAGTCAGTTTTCGTGTTCTTATTTGCATCTTGGAAATTGCAGAGGTTTTCAGTATCAAGTATCACACTACATCTCAAGGTTATAATACCCTAATTTAAATATTATCGGCTGTTTGAATCTGATTATCTCTGTTTGTACAACATCGTTTGTTTGAATTACAAACAACAGAAGAACTTTTCGACTGATATTGTTTACTTAAACCATCTATTCCAATATGATGTTCACTTCAATGAATCGATTCGATTATGTTCATTTGACATTATGTAGTGTTACCATGCTTTGTTTAAAGGTATGATATATCCATTTAAATTATTATAATATCAGATGGGTTTTGTGGAGATTGTAGTAATTTTTTGGTCAAGATCATGAGTTAGTTGAAGCTAGACCATCATGGAAAACCTGGAAACACTGGAGTCCCACAATAGGACAAAACGGCCGTCTAGTGCTTCCAGGTTTTCCATGGTGGTCTAGCTTCAACTGACTCATGATCTTAACCATTTAAATTATTTTACTTCAACAATCTGATGCATGTCAATCAGTGTGAACGACTTCAATTATTCAATTGACTTTTCATATACTGATTCGTTCGGTATCAGGATATGAACATGATAATAAACAAAACTATAAAACAAACTAAAGTAATTCTGACGAATGTCTGGCTACATTGGAAAATATCATTTTTGACATAATATCTGAAAATGTACTGGATTTGATATAATTTAGGATAATTGACGTTTACTAACAGATCAAACAGCCCCCTGACTGTAATCAGTTTTCAACGGAAATTACCTTAATAGTGTACAAGCTTCATGAAATCACCCAACTTAGTAGTAACCTTCCGGAGCTGGTCTTCACCACAGATTGAACTCATTTTGGATACCATGAATCGATTGTAGTTAGATCTGTATACCGTCGGATGTCAACTCAACAGTCTAGAGGATCCAACCCCTGATGGGATCTCATAATGTAAATAAACAGCTGTCTAACGCTTTGTGATTTTCAGTAATATCCAATCTGAGGTCAATCTTTGGTTAATATCACCTCCGTACACAATGGGTTCACCTAGAGGAGTTGGGAAATCCTGATTCCAAATCAATGGTCCACATGAGCTCCAGAATTCTGAAGGAACAAATGGCGTATGAACTAATTGTTGGTCACCGGCTACCATAGGACCGTATCTCCTTACGCTGCTCCACTGCCTTGTAGATCAGGCCTTCAGTTCGAAGGCTCAGTGTGTGGGGTTCCCTTGGGAAAACCACCTGCTTCGGTCTGGGCATCCGGGCAGTATCATAGCCCACATACAAACCAAGTGACTTATGTGTGCATCTTTTTACCAGTATTGACAGAAATAACCTCTAGATAAAACGTATATTAAAGAAACTATTGATTTATAAACTTCTTGTTTCTATTTCTTCTCTTAGGATTATCTTACCTCTCAGGGTATTTCAATTCCAACATTTATCAATCATTGTTTAACATTTTATATTAATACAACATCAATTTATTCATCATGTATATTAGATAGAAATTCATTAATTTGTAAAAATTGTAGTGAACGTTTACTTAGTCAATTAGCTTATCAATATCGTTTATCTATATGTCCAAATGAATTACCAACTGATGTCATTATTAAACCAAATTGTTATTATGGACAATATTGTCGTTATCAAAGTTATAATTATAATCATGCTAGACGTTTTAATCATATTTGTGAAAGATCAATTTAATTTAATTTTATTTTCATTTTCATTTAATGATATTCTTTCATATTCCTTCTTTTCAAAGAAGGGAGATGAATACTACTCTTTTTTTGCCAATAAGTAGTCATTAGTAGTATATACAGCTTCTTTTTTTTCCCTTTTTGTTGTTGTTATTGATTTATTAATCTGTATGACAATCTCTAATATATTTTATTGAAGATTTTTGCATTTACCTTATAGAAATTGTTCTATTTTGTTGTGTTTAAGAGTCATAGAGACTAATAATACAATTACCATTTTTTGTTTGTTTTTTTTCCTCCTTTTGATTATTTTTCTTTCCCCTTGAGAAAAAAAATTTTTTTTCAAATCGGAATTGTTAAAATTTCTTTTAAATAAATTGAATATTCATCATAATAGTTGAGATCATAAGTTAATTAAAGCTACACTACCATGGAGAACCTGGAAGCACTGGACGACCGTTTGGTCCTACTGTGGAACTCCTCAGCATTCATTGATTTAGTGTGTATTTATGTATTTTTGTTTGGATATATCTGTTCACTTTGGAAAACAATGAATCAATGGATACATGTAGTTACTGTTAAATAAGTTTTTCGGTGAGATTATAATTTATGGATGACCTTTGAACGACGCTAAAGTGACTTTGAGAGCGTTTGCCTATAATAACTAGGACAAAATGAGGGTTATAAGCCTGTGTGGAGAATTCGAATTACGATTTACTGTTGATAGTTAGGGGCTAGGAATTAGATTTCGAGTTTTCATCACGAACTGACATCAGCTATAATGCCAAAACTGTATTTAGCTAAATAGATGGGTGAATTTCGCGCCAAAATTCGAGTCCTGTTATCTTATACCTGATTGGTTCGTCCATAAATTGTAGTCTCGCCGGTTTTTCTACTGAATTTATAATTAAAACCTTTAGAACAAGGATAATGTATGCGAAAATACGGATTAATTGACAATAATCGCAAGCTCCAATCGTTTGCATAGAATAATTATCCATCAGTTATTAATAATAGTGATGAATAGCATCTGTAATTCTGTTTAACAGTCTGCTTAGTGGCTCGTACGGACTTGAGAACTCGAAATTTCGATTATAAATAGAGTGACATGCACTATTGAAGTCTGTAAAAAAAAAGGTTGTTTATGAACTTACGCCTGTTACTCCTCGTGAAGGAGCATAGGCCGCTCACCAGCACTCTCCGTCCAACCCTGTCCTGGGCAATCCTTTGCAGCTCTTCCCAGTTATTATCCATCCTTTTCATATCTGATTCTATTTCCCGACGTAATCTGTTGTTTGGCCTCCCTCTTTTCCGCTTCCCTTCAGCATTACAAATTAGGGCTTGCCTCGTGATGCAGTTTGACGATTTGCGTAATGTATGTCCTATCCATTTACATCGTCTTTTCCTAATTTCTTCTTCAGCTGGAAGTTGGTTTGTTCTCTCCCACAAAAGGCTGTTGCTGATGATATCCGACCAACGGACATTGAGTATCTTGCGTAGACAACTGTTTATAAGTGCTCGTAGCTTTTTGATGATGGTTGTAGTAGTTCTCGAAGTTTCAGCTCCGTATAGTAGAATTATCTTGACGTTCGTATTGAAAATTGTGACTTTGATATTGGTTGAAAGTTGTTTTGAGTTCCATATGTTCTTCAACTGTAGGAATGCGGCCCTTGCTTTGCTAATCCTCGCTTTACGTTTGCATCTGATCCTCCTTGTTCATCGATTATGCTTCCCAGGTATGTGAAGGATTCTACATCTTCCAGAGTTTCGCCATCAAGAGTGATTGGATTGCTGTTCTCTGTGTTGCATTTGAGGATTTTGGTTCTCCCCTTGTGTACGTTGAGGCCTACTGATGCAGAGGCTGCTGCTACACTGGCTGTCTTTATCTGCATTTGTTCGTGTGTATGCGATAAGTGGGTAGGTCATCTGCGAATTCCAAATCGTCTAATTGATTCCGAGCTGTCCATTGTATGCCGTGTTTCCTCTCAGATGTCGAGGTCTTCATAATCCAGTCTACCACCAGAAAGAAGAGGAAGGGAGTGAGTGGACAGCCTTGTCTGACTTCGGTCCTACTTGGAATGCATCCGTCAGCTGTCCTCCATGCACTACTTTGCACTGTAGTCCGTCGTATGAGTTCCGGATAATATTGACAATCTTCTCAGGAACTCCGTAGTGTCGAAGAAGTTTCTACAACGTTCTCCTATCTACACTGTCGAATGCCTTTTCATAATCAATGAAGTTGATGCATAGTGACGAGTTCCACTCAACTGATTGTTCGACGATGATCCGTAGTGTTGCAACTCGGTCTGTGTTGGGATATTCAGGAAAATATCCCAAAAATTATCCTGTTAAGCCTAATGCTATCCTTGGACATGAAATGGTATCATCCTGTTGGTCAATATTTATTTAACGTGTTATTTTCCTGTTGGCCAATATTGTACAATGTTATTTTCTATTTTGTTGTACGTTGTGGTCTGCTTGACTGGTATATAAACAAAGTATATTTGAAATATAATGATTCATATATCCGAGGCTGAGACTTGCGTTCTGGACTTAACTGGCTGGGCTAGACAGGGAAGCGGGGCCAATCAGAACCCTAGGTCGTTCTACGTGTTTGCGCGTCTTTGGTCCGATCAATAATTCGCTACCACTTAATCAGCAGCATTTTTCACGTTATAACAGTCTGTCTGTTTATGAACGGTGAATTCTATATAACAACATGGAAAACTGTACAAATTAGTGTATACCGAATTGGTAAATGTATTTGCAAATGAAATGGGATATACCTGAACGACGCCCCACTCAGCAGTTGCAGTCACTATTATTATAATTTAGTAGTATCAGATAGGAATAGTAAAGATTAAACATTAGGAATGGGTATCACCTACTTGGAGAAGAATAAAGAGGATCTTAACAACACAAGAGTAGTGTTCTAGCCAAAAAAGGGCAGACTTATCAACAGTTAAATCTCTGTGATGTGATCAATCAACTATTCAAAACAGTAGACTTTCTTAACGCCATCGGGAATAGTTCTAGTCAACTGGATTAATTAGAAGGACGATTATCTACTATGGCAGCTATCGGAATTCGAGATGTAAAATAAAACATGGGTGGTACTGATAAACCTAACTGGACGCTAGATTCGGTTTCCTAAGCTCTTTTAGTAACCCTCAAGCTAAATCTACACAGCAACTTAGACACTTCGGAAATTATAAGCAATCTGGTAATAATATTTGCAAACCAATCGAAATATAAAATGTGTGGTCAAATAAGGCGAACATGGAAACTCGGAATCGAAATAGTGTGGCTCGATCATACAGGCGTGGTCACTACGTAACGTAATCCTTCTTCACATCAAATAAATCATCCTATCACAAACCCAAATGTGTTCTTCAGATGTGTAAATTATCACCTACTATAATTCAGCGATAATATTCTCCAGTATAAGTATCTATTTTTGCTCGAGTTGTTTCTTAGCTCTGTTAATCACAAAAGTCCTGGTCCTTGTATTTTGTCTAAGAAATTTGCGTCTGTTTAGAAGGAAGAAGGTGCAACAATGTTGTGTACTTCATGGCGAGTTTGTTGGTACTCTTTGAACAGTTTTGGGGTGATTGGGATAAGTTGTCTTCATAAAGCTAGGAGTTGCATACAAGCTGTCTGCAAGTAGTAGTTATAAACCTTAGAGTGAATTTTTATACCGTACTTAGTTTGTTCGTGTTTCATGGGTCTGAATGTTTGTGGAGTGGCATTTTGACAGGTCACTTTTCAACCCACTGCTCATTTCCTTATTGTCACAAATTCCTTCTGAAGCTCATGTGGATAAATTTATCCCTTTATAGACCCTCAGATCTTTGCAACATCTGCATTGATTAGTGACTCTGAGTCAGATATTATGACCAGGAAGAGGAGCAGAACTAAGAGGACCTCAGGAGATTGTCCAGCTCTCTCATGTTATAAAGAGATCTGACGCATATGAACCGCCTCTCCCAAACACATATTTTGCTTCATGGATGAAGCTTTTTGTTCATGTACTGCGTCATTTGTCCACTGACCACTTCTTCCCTTATCTGTGACAGTATTGGCAGTAATGCTTACAATCTGTACCAAGAAGGATCTACTATATCTCCTCCGTTACAGATTGGAGAGGAAGTAACCAGTCTCCGTCCTTTTGGAAGTATATATGGCTCTAGGAAGTGCTTGAAAAGATCACACACTAATGAAGCAATGTTTCCCGCACACTGTTTCAGAATTAGAGGGTGGATACTATCACATCTTGGTGACTTCACTTGGAGCAGGAATTTTAGTTTATTAGTACTAGCCCAGAAATTAGTTGGATACTAACCAGGCGATCAGTTAGCACCAGGGTTAAGGAGTGTTCTGTGCATGTAGCTTTCTCGTCAACCAGTCGACAAAGTTGGTATTGAGGATTCCTCTCATCTTAATTTGATAGAATATCCACCATTTTTGCCCTTCAAGAGCACAAATCTCCTGGTCTTCAGGTTTGTGGAATTATAGTTTACTTAGGTTTTCGCACATTTATGTTTGTTACTATTACGATAAACGTTATCCCGAAATTGTGAACTTTTCATGACGTGACTACCTAATCCATAAGATCTTACGTGGAGGTCACATCACTGTCTCTTCTGACTCGTATCGTGCAATCAGCAATACAATGTTTAGCACTTCTGAAGAATACATTTAGCTGGTGATAGAATAATATGTTTTAATGTGAATAGGGATTCGTTACACTGATGACCACGCCTGTATGACCGAACCATGTGTGGTGTTTGAGTGAACTAATGATTCCTTTGTACTTGTTGAATGCTTGATTTCGAGTTCTAAATACAGTACATACGTTTGTGCTTATCTAGTACTTCTTGATCCGATTACGTTATTTCTGGGATTCTTAGTTTATACCATAATTCAAATACTTCTAATCATTACAACATGCCATCACGAATAATTGCTGCCGCCTTCACGATTGCTGACCTTCTCTCCGTGTTAAGTGTTGAACGTGAGTTATAATAGTTATCTCATATTTACCTTTGAGGATCGTGTGGTTAGAAACAATATTACTACAGATTTTGTTTCAGTCATGAATCTGTAGCAAAATTTATGGTTAACTTGCATTTTGGCCGCTCCTGTCGCTTTAGGTTCTGCATTGCATCTGTTTTTTAATAACAAGCAATAGCTACAGTCATAATATTTCGGAGCGACTTCCTAGTTGTGCCAGGTTCTTTGTTTGTCATGTGGTAAGCATTCGGTGCCACTCTTATTCCGAGATCTACCAACTCCATGTGTGTTCCTCACCTGAGGTGAATTGAGTAGAACAGCATTCTAAATGTTGTCTTTATTTAGAAGAGTTATGAAGTCTCATGATGAAAACCAAGTTCC